TTATGATCAGGAAATCTGGGTAGCAAAACAAGACAGCATATTAACCCTGCATGCTTTCTTCATGGCCATCCGGTATAAGCCAGACTTCCAAACACTGTCCTCCAGTGTTTGGAAGCTAGAGCCTATCACAATGTGTGACATGTCTCAGTTTGTGGGATAGAAATGCTCTAAAGTTCCACTTAAAGCGGGAAAACTGCCACCCATACATTGCAGAGTTGTATCACAGTTGAGCAGATGGTGATGCAGGCAAGAGGCATTTTTACATTAAGTTGCTGCCTAACTTTTGAAATAAATAATTCTATCTAAAAAGTAAATAATGATATCAAACGTTGCTGTAAAACACTGCCTGCATCTATACATCTAAGCTCTGTGGCTCATGAGGCAGCACAGGTTAATTATTAATTGAAAGGTCGGTGGTTCAATCCCCAGCTACTCTAATCTGCATCTTGAAATATCCTTGGGCATAATGAACCGGAGTTGCCCCAGTGCATCCATCGGAGCGTGAGCATGTGTTTGTGCAGAATACCAGAGGTGGGATTGCCAGGCAGGACCATACATCATGTCCCCCGCAATGTAAATCTGTATGTACAGTGAAGTGTTTGTATGAGCTCTTCCCTCTACAGCCACCCCCAGAAAACCTTGGGATTAAATGAACTCCTGTAAAGTCTCCTAAATGCTGTTTATTTTTTCTTTTTCATTTTTTTTGCGTCTTACGTGCACAAACGTAAGACGTAAGGTATAAGAAAAAAGTACTTGTGTGAATAAGGATTGTAGTAAAAAACGTTTTGAGTACCCAGAGTAGAAGAGTGCTATACAAGTACCTGGCCATTTGCCATGTACTAAAAACAATGGCAAATATATGATTAATGGATTTCTTTTATACTCCCTGTGAATGAGTAATGGTCTCCAGTATCGTCAGGCTTTAACACACAGATGCACATATGAAATATACACTACTGTCAAAAGGAAAAACTTAATAAGACAGGGGATATTAAAAAGAATATTTAAACTTGCATGTAAATTCCTCTACAGACCATCTCTAAGAGCCAATCGTTTGAGCAGTGATGACAAAACAGCGCTAAGACTCCCGTTCTAAAAGTCACTGTTAGCCTTTCTACTGAACCGATGTTTGTGAAATAATCTTGTTGTCAACTCGTGACAACTGTACAGTGTGGCTCTGAATGTGAAAGCGTGAGAACATGTGTTCATGTTGAAGTGCGTATCTGTGCATTTGTTTATAAGCATCTGTGTGTACAATTTTGGAAGCTCCCTGCCAACGCGAGACAAATGGCAACACAGCTGCTCACAGCATGAAGAGGAAACACTCAACATGGCACAGAAGGACTGACATCAACAAGCTCTAATAATGCTGAAAGAGGCACACATCAAGTCTGCTGACATCTACTGACTAACACCAGATTAACACCAGCAGCCAGTATCTAGGACAGAGGAGAAACGTTTCTATTTCTACATCCACTTCATCAACAATGCAATTAGACATTATTCATCCTGAAGAACCCAGTATTTATCATTCTCACCTCCTCTGGTTCATCTCTCCGTCTCCTCCGTTGTTCTTTCCAGGACCCCAGCTGTGGCGGCGAAGAGGTGACAGGGAACGGTTGCTGTTACGAAAGAGACAGGAACGCCGCGGCACCTCAGTTACTCTATCTTTGGCCTCTTCTTCAGCCTCTCCTGCCCCTCCTCCTTCTCCACCTTCACTGTCCAGTCCTTCAGTGGCAGGTGCCACGGTCTGGATGCCCTCTTCTGGACTCCAGCTGCAGCCCAGGCCCTGGCTGCCCTCCGGGCTGGAGCTGGTCGGGCCGACACTGGCGGTGTCGTCTGTGGAAGAGCAGGAGACGGAAACCTCGCTGGTACTGTCTCCTCCAGTCACAGGTTCATCATTCTGAAAGACATGCCAAAAAGAGAAAAGGTATAACTTTACACTACTTTAAAGCATTACTGTACCATCAAAACGTTATGGTTTATCATGAGCCAGTATGCTAAATCAGCACTATATGAAGTCAATGCCACACTAATAAAATGTTGATTTATTATTTTAGGGAGCGAGGACACATGTAAATGCAACTGATTCCACGTAAAGTATTAATTTCCAGGTTTAATCAAGCAATGCGCTTGTGAACCGTGAACAGTAACTGAAAGTGTGAAGAGTCTGGCTCTGCTCTGAGAACCACAGGAAGTGGGGCGTGAGAACATGTGTGTGCTTACTAAGCTATTGTGAGGCAAGGTTGTGGATGACAACTTGAGGAATTAGTGATAATCAACGGCAAAAAAATCCCACAAAAAAGCCTGCAGACGCTATGTCTCAACAGCTGCTCAGCAGATATCTATCCATTTATGGTCACTAAGTGCATAAGGCTAAATCATTTATTGTAAGTGAACAAAGCTCTCCTGCCCTCTCACTGGCTGGTTCTATTTTTGTTTGGGTCACATGGTACACATTACACAGAGTGGCTAGCACCACCTTACATTAACCCTGGCCTTGGTGACGGTGATGGTATCAGGTACTGGCAATCCTACAGGCGAACAATAGGACTATATGAAGGACCCAAAAGGTTAATTCTGTTCATCTGGAAGTAGCGTAGTGTTTTCTATATGGAGGACCACAAAACCCCAATAACAGGAGACTATTTAAGATCCATAATGTGCTTTTGCTATTTTATCACACCTGCAGTTTATGGGCAGAATGTAACAGAACAGGGAAAAAAGGGCACTCCAACACAGCATAATAAATATGAATAAAACATAACACAGCAAAACAGATGTCCTTGAAATCATTGTTAATTACTCAGGCTATCACATTGTATATCAATCAGCATTTCTTCACTGAGGCATGAGATGAATTAAGAGTAGGCTGAAGAGCCATTTAACCCACAGGAATGGAATATAATGAGGACCAAATGGCATGGCTTAGGGATAATGAGCCAGC